CATTAACCAATCATATGTCGCAAAGCACTAAAATCGAAGACAAAAGGTGGCCTTGCATTCCGCATTTCCCTGTATACGATCATGATGAAGGCAATGTCCATGTGGGTGATGCGGTGCAACTCTGCCTGGTCAGCACGATTGCTTCGTGTCGGCAGGGAAGTAAGGCACGCCCAGTATGCTGTAGACCGGGTTCAACGTCCCCTGCGCGTCGTCCTTGACGACAGATCGCATCACGTCGACGCCGTACTGACTGTCATACAAGTACGCGACCCCCGGGTCGGTTGTCGACGCATTGTAGAGCAACGGAAGGTACTGGGCAAACTCGGACGCGTCGTAGGTCAGCTGGCCAATCTCGACGCGGTCGTACGATGCGTCGGACGCAAACGGGGAAACTTCCGAGAGGTCGCCTTTGAGGGGCATGAAGAGGAGGTTGACGAAGAAGCAGGCGGAGAGAAAGACCGACTTGGCGTGGAGCTTCACGTCGGGACGCTCTGGTTGATTTCTCATTGCGGCAATCACGTTGGCCTGTGTAAACGACGTTACGATGATACTAAAATACGATGACGCGATGAAGCTCATTCACGGACGAAACCGAGGATGATGCTGGCATCGTCTTCAAACTTGGGCATTTCGCCTCTCGACATCTCTGTAGTCACACCATCGGCTGCACCGCTGCACCGACACGCCCCCGTACGTTGTGTGTTGCTCCGTGAATGCATCGCTTTGAGGGACAGCCCCTGGTCCATGTAACTTCATCATCCGACAGGCATTGGGGGTGATCCAAATATAGCAGTGACATACAGGCATTTATCAACAAAGTTGCCACCTACACTTGGCTTGTGACGACTCAGATGGGCAAGGGTCATCTTCGAAACGTGAATTGAGGCGTTGTCTTGTTGAAAGGCAATGGATCTTCCTTCTTGGATGGCCTCCAAATTCACAAGAAATGGAACTTGGTACAAGTCGCCCGTCTCGCAGTACTTGTCTGATAGATACTTGACCCCTTGTAGGAACGCGAGTTCACTCTTGCCGTCGTTGGAAAAGGCGCCCATAAGACGACAGATTGCGATGGATGTCTCGCTCTTTGAACACAAAGCACCGTCCTGTGCGCTTTTTTGCCTTTGGGTTCATCTGCTTTTTCCATAGGTTGCAAATAGCATTCTCGCTCCGCCCGAGCTCGTTGGCAATCCAACGGTTCGATTTTCCTAGAGATACAAGAGCTTTTGCCTTCCCAATCTCGTCGGCCGTCAAATGACAGCCTCTTGGCATCTTCGTGGGCAAATTGGAGGAATGTCATACATGTGAGGCATCCATTTGATGTGTGCTTTCTTTTGAGCTACACCATTGGCATTGGCTGATATGCGTAACCAATCGTCAGATTGGCGCGGAAACTGTTGTGCGGCTATACTTTTGCACCACCCAAATTTTGGGTCATGTCGACTGTCGTGGTGGGTGTTCCAGCACTGCATTCCGCACACATGCATCTGACCGCATTTGCAACAGCATTCTTTGGTGCATGCGCCAACATGATTAATGTCAATACTACCTTGCAACATCCGAAATAGGTGGTGCGGCTATAGTTTTGTTTTAGACTGTACGGTTTTACCACTTCAAGACCTCTGCCCTTGTTCAGACTCAAACCAGGGACTGGTTATTTCTGTCGTGTGCTAAACTGAGTTGCTCGAGTAAACCTCGGCAAGGCAGGGTAAAAGGCGAACGGGTAATTCATTGGCTCCTACCTTTACTCAACCTTTTAACTAACCCAAGCGTACGTGTTTACCTTTACCTTTTACCTAAGCGTCCATGCAGGTGAAAGGTAATCGGAGCATCCACAGACTCTACGAACCTATACCTTGTACATTACCTCAAGAAGAACATGACGTGTTTATTCCATCTCGAGTTCGGCCTCAATCTATTTCGTCCAGTATCTTAGCAACGCCGTCATCGATGATTTCTTCGCCCAAGTAATCTTCTTCGTCCTGTAGGTCCAGCAGCTTCTATGAATTAAGGACTTGGTCATCTTCAGCGCAGGCCATTGCCACGTTCTCACGTTTTGACAGGCGCTTTGACGATGCCAGAGTTCATCCAAGAGCGGAGATACATTGTCATTATATTCAACTCTGTCGAGAGCCAAAGGCGAGTGTGTGTGAACTCGTGACCTGCGGCGGTTAAGTACTTACCCGTTAGTTTTTATTGCCGGGTAATTGAGCTCGGGGCTTAAAGGTAACGGGTAATCAAGGGAACGCTGCCTTTACCTTACAGTTTACCTTTATCTTTTACCCCGATAATTTGCCCTACCATGCCGAGGCTTATGCTCAAGTACGAAATGAAGGTACCTTCAAATGTATATATATATATATATTATTGGAATCCATCGAATTTTATGTATTTATTATGAATTGTCATAGATTGGTGGAATGGCACAGACGTCCAGATCGAGGAAACGATGCTCAAGAAGCCTCAAGTACAGTACATTCGCGAAACTCGGCATTTGGAATATTGGCACTTTAGTGGTGTCCATAGGACGACGAAAACATGCCTACTACTCTGGTCCACAAAAAGAGTCACATATTTCTTCTGATTGGCGGCATTTTTCTAATACATCGAGTTGAGGCCATCTAATTGGCTTACAAGAAAGCGCATGATCTCAGCTTTGATTGGCTGTGTTTTGAGCTTTCCAGATCGATTTTGTTGCCAAGTTATGGAGGCGGGAAATCAGTCACTGGTTGCAACGCACACATAATGA